TTATTCTGAAATTCATTCAGGACCTTTATTCTGAAATTCATTCAGGAACTTTATTCTGAAATTCATTCAGGAAATTTATTCTGAAATTCATTCAGGACCTTTATTCTGAAATTCATTCAGACTTTATTCTGAAATGCTTCCAGTAGTTTTAGACAAACTGCTGAACCTCTGCCCATCTCTCTGTTTATCCCAGGCCTCTTCCAAACCTGCAGATAAGTTAATGTTCCTCCACTGGTTCTGTTTCTGGACCTCTGGACCTTACAGTGACTTGTTGCTCCTGAAACAACTTCTCTGAGATGTGTTGCTGCTGTAAAGCTCAAAACAATCTCATTAATGTTTTATTTTGAAATGGTTCAGTTTCTTAGGGTGCATTCACACCAGCCCTGTTTAGTCCGCTTTAATCGAACTCCAGCTCGTTTTCCTAGAAAGTCCGGTTCTTTTAGGGAGGTGTGAACGCGCCATCGAACTCTGTCACGGAACAAAAAGGCGAACTCTGGCCCGGGCTAAAACCTAGGTCTCGGTCCGGTAGAAGAGAACTCCAGTGCGGTTCGAGTGCAGTGTGAATGCAAACAGACCGGGCCCCGCTCCGCAGGACAAACAAACATGCATTTCTCTGACCTTATATGGAGCCGTCAGCTGACTTGTGTGAAGAACAATATTCTCCATGGTCTTCTGTCTCATCTTCTGCTCATGCTAAGTCCATTTTTGAAAAATGACAAAATATAACTCCTAAAACTGCTAAAACTTGATGCCACTTCGATTTTATTTTTATTTACAGAAGAAGAATAAGACGTGTCTTCAGAGTTTTTTGTGTCGTTTCTTTCAGTAGTTCTTGGTGCAGCGCCCCCACAGGCGAGCGGGGGAATAGGTTGGTTCAACACGTTGTCTCGACTGCACAGTGCAGTGTGAATGCAAACGCACCAGCTCAAATGTAAACAAAAGTTCATGAATATTGGTCCCGAACCGAGTCTACCAGACTATCTGGTGTGAAAACGACCTTAGTTTAGTCATCGACAGGTTTACTTTGTTTTGATGTGAAGATAATGTGAGTTCATGCAGTTTGAGAAACATCATTCTCTTTTATTTGCATTTTAAAATCATGTTCTCAGTCTGACAGCTTGGTTTCCTTCTGGCTTTACTGAACTCGTCCCAGAGAGTCATGAGGACATTGCAGCAGCTTGTGTGCTTGATTACACTGAAAACCTTTACATCTTTACATTTTTACTCTTCTTCTCTGTCTTGTTTTTCTTCTCAGCTTCTATTCCAGAAAGTACCAAGTGTTCCTGCAGATGTTCGCCCACCAGAGGGAGTACCAGGCCCTGATGCTGCCCAGATGACAGACCTGCTGGAAGAGGCAGAGCTCTGATTGTTCTCTTAACAAGAACAATTTCACACTTTTCTTTAGTTCAGTCTCACAAAGGAAACCACTTCCTGACGTTGAGCATTTGTCGTGAGGTTTGTTTTCCTGAAAGTTTGCTCAGTGACAAAGACACAGGAAGTCAAACAACAAGAAGTTTCATGACAAACGTTTTCAGGTCCACTGCTGACGTCGTGCCTAAGAACATGAACAAACATCAGTCATCTTCAAAATGCATTCCTAATAAATCTGTACAATAAGAACCATCTGCTGTGTGTTTGTCACTCCAACCCAAAGTTCTGCTGCGGTCTTCCAAACAGAAACACTTTGATCTGCTGTCCTGAACGTCCGCTGCCGCTCAGGGAGGAAGTTCTAGCAGTACAGTGTGAATGTGTGTGTGGGAGGTAAATGGACTGTACTTGTATATCACCTTTCTGTCTTATCAAGATGCTCGCAGCTCTTTACTACACAGTCTGTGCCTCATTAACTCAAGTCAACTTTATTTATAGAGCACATTTAAAACAGAATCTGTTATTAAAGTGCTTAACAACAACAACAATCAATGAGAGTAAAATTAAAGAGAAAAAAAAAAATATATATATATACAATACACTAATAATAATAACGGAAGAATTAATAAAAAGCATTTAAAACATATGATCACACATTTAAAAATCACTAGATCAATTCACACTGTATGAAATGCCTGAGAGAACAGATGTGTTTTCAGCAGGGATTTGAAGTGAGTAAGGGAGGTGGCCTGCCTGATGTTGGGGGGCAGGTTGTTCCAGAGTTTGGGGCCCATGACTGAAAAAGCCCGATCTCCTCTGAGCTTCAGTCTTGTTTTTGGAACAGCCAAAAGCAGCTGATCGGATGATCTCAGGGCCTGAGAGGGAACGTATGGTTCCAGAAGCTCAGAGAGGTAAAGGGGTGCGAGGCCATTTAGGCATTTGAAGGTCAACAGAAGAATTTTAAAGACTATCCTCGTACGAACAGGGAGGCAGTGAAGGGAGGACAGAACTGGTGTAATATGTTCAGACCTACGAGTTCCAGTTATAAGCTGAGCAGCAGCATTCTGGACTAGCTGAAGACGTGAGATGGAGGCCTGGCTGACCCCAGCATACAGTGCGTTGCAATAGTCCAATCGGGTCGTGACAAAGGCGTGGACTAGTTTTTCAAGGTCGGGTCTGGACAACACTGGCTTGAGCTTAGCTACCTGTCTGAGTTGGAAGAAGCTTTTCTGCAGAACAGAGTTGATTTGTTTGTCAAACTTGAAGTCAGAGTCTAAAACCATCTCGAGATTTTTTACCAGACTGCTTAAGATGGCTGAAGAGAGTCTAGGTTGACAGGATCAGAGGTGGCAGTTGAGCTAGGGCTAAAAACAATGACTTCAGTTTTGTCATTGTTAAAACTTAAGAAATTTGAAGCCATCCAGGCCTTAATGTCATCCAGACATTTTAACAGATGGTGAATGGAGCAAACACTTGCTGGTTTCACAGGCAGGTAGATCTGGCAGTCATCAGCATAGCAATGAAATGAAAGACCATGTTTCCTCAGGATGGACCCCAGTGGGAGCAAATAAAGTGAGAACAGAAGGGGTCCAAGAATTGAACCTTGTGGGACCCCGCAAGAAAGAGTTAATGAGGCAGATACATTATTACCAACCTTGACACAAAAGCTCCTACCACTCAGGTATGAGCGGAACCATTCTAATGCAGCACCTGTGATCCCAACCCACTGTTCCAGCCGTGATATAAGGATACTGAGGTCAACAGTATCAAAAGCAGCAGTAAGGTCCAGGAGCACAAGTACCACAAATTGACCAGAATCGTTTGATATCATAATGTCGTTACAAACCCTTACTAATGCTGTTTCAGTGTTTTGGAGTTGCTTAAAACCAGACTGAAAAATCTCGAAGATTCTGTTCTCATTCAAAAACTTGTTTAATTGAATGAAAACTATTCCATGATTTTGGACCGGAAGGGAAGTTTTGAGATGGGTCTGAAATTTGAGCAAGTCGAAGGTTCCAGTCCAAGTTTCTTAATTAACGGATGAACTACTGCATGTTTGAAGACATTGGGGACCACACTTGTCACAATACTAATATTTACAATAGTAAGAACAGAGGGTCCAATCATGTGTAGAACTTGTTTGAAAAACGACGCAGGAATGGGGTCAGTGGGTGAACCAGAGGGTTTCATCTGACCAACGACTTTGTTTAGAATTTAGAGTGAAATGGGTTCAAACTGTTTGAAGACAGCTGAGCAAGGGACAAAGACAGAGGGGTCAGTTGTGGACTGGGGGATGGATGACCTAATCAACTCTATCAGCAAAGTATCTGGTAAAGTTGTTGCAGATGTCAACGGAGGCCTCCATGCTGGCAGACCGAGGCACGTTTAAAATGGAATTTATGGTATTAAAAAGAACACGGGGATTATGACTGTTTGAAGCAATGATTTGGGAGAAGTATTTGTTCTTTTCAGATTTAACGATGCCCTGATAATCTTTCAAACACGTTTTTAACATAATAAAAGAAACCTGTAATTTGTCCTTCTTCCACTTGCGTTCAGCTCTCCTGCATAGACGTTTGGCCGCTCGAGTGGTTAACTCATTCCTACAGCACTCTACCAGATCTGCTATTTCCAGAAAATATGAAAATAGCAAAGAGAGTTCCTCTTTATAAGAATGATCAGAAATGTGTGTTCACTATTTACAGACCAATATCCTTGTTGCCACAATTTTCAAAAATATTAGAGAAATTGTTTGTAACCAGATTAGATGGATTTATAGATAAACAGAATATTTGAAGTAATAATATGGGTTTAGAACAAATAATTCAACATCAATGGCTCTCATGGAACTAATAGAAGAGATAACAACTGTTGATCAAAAACAGTATTGTGTTAGTGTTTTTGTTGATTTAAAAAAGGCCGTCGACAATATTGATCACACCATTCTCCTTGAAAAACTGAATAAATATGGCATTAGAGAATTAGCACTACAGTGGGTATCCGTTTATTTGAATAATAGGACACAGTTTGTACACATAAATGATGTAAGATATGAATTTCTTGTTAATGGATGTGGAGTCCCTCAAGGCTCTGTGTTGGGACCAAAGGTGTTTATTATGTATGTGAATGATCTGGTTGATGTGTCAGGGCTTTTGAAATGTGTTTTATTTGCAGATGATACAATTTTTTTTTTGTTCAGGAGAAGATATTGAACGGATGTTAGAGATGATACAGGTCGAATTCGTAAAAATACAAACTTGGTTCCAACTTAATAAGTTATCATTAAATTTGGAAAAAACAAACTACATGATATTTAGTAATGAAAATAAAATTATCCAAGTCCCATTTAAAATTGACAGTACTGAAATTCATAGAGTTAAATAAAATTTTTGGTTGTTATTGATGAGAAGCTGACATGGAAATCTCATGTAAATTACTTAAGAATAAAAACAACCAAATCCATCCATCCATCCATTTTCTTTACCCGCTTATTCCATTTTTGGGTCACGGGGGTCGCTGGTGCCCATGTCCAGCAATCCCTGTGCGAGGGGCGGGGTACACCCTGGACGGGTCGCAAGTCCATCACAGGGACACATAGAGACAAACGAGACAAACAACCATTCACTCTCTCACTCACACCTAGGGACAATTTAGAGTTACCAATCAGCCTAACATGCATGTTTTTGGACTGTGGGAGGAAACCGGAGTACCCGGAGAAAACCCACGCATGCACGGAGAGAACATGCAAACTCCACCCAGGAAGGCCCCTGGACCGGGGTTTGAACCAAGGACCTGCTCGCTGAGAGGCAGCAGCTCTATCAGTTGCGCCACCGAGCTGCCTAACAACCAAATCAATTTCATTAATGTATAAAGTAAAAGAGTTTTTGAATGACAAAGCTTTGTATATATTTTATAATGTAATGATTGTTCCATATTTAATCTATTGTACTGAAGTTTGGGGGAAAGCATGCAAAACAATTACAAATCCTATTTTTATTTTACAAAAAATTGCTATAAGAATTATTAGTATGAAGTGCTATGGTCACCCAACAAATATATTATTTCATCAGTTGAAATTGTTAAAATTTTATGATTTGGTTGAATATAGTATTTTACAAGTCATGTATAAAGCTCATAAAAATATTACCCCCAAATATTCAATTAAAATTTGTTTAAAAAAGGAGAATCATTATAACCTTAAGGGAATGGAAATGTTTGTAAAACCTCCAGTTAGAACTAGTCTGAAGGAGCTGCGTTGTAATTCAGGGAATATGATTGTTCAAGTGACTTGATATCACTGTAACATTTCTAAAACAATTGATATGTTTAAAAATATGATTAAGTTGAAATTGTTAGTAAAGTCTGATACCATGTGAAGAATCCCTGATGTTTTTGTTTTTGCTTTGGGGATTGTTCAAGCCTGAGTTGTTGTTTTGAAGTTATTTATATTTTTTAATAAGGGGCAGATATTACAATAATGCTCTTCTTCTTTCTGCACCTTTTCATTCACTGTTCTTTTCTTTTTGATTAATTTGTTTTGTTTGTTTTGTTTCTTTTAAAGTAATAAATAAATAAATAAATCTATACAAAGATTAATCAGTGCTTTATCACATTCATACACCAATGGGACACACGTCGGAGGCAGTGAAGTCAGATTTATTTATAAAGCACATGTAAAACAGCAGCTGTTACCAAAATGCTTCACAATAAGATCAAGGCAGTAATTAAGGAAAAAATAAGTAATTAAAAGCATCAAAAAGAAAAACAATGAAATACTAAATCAAATCGCACTAAATGTCAGTGAATACAGGTGTGTTTTTTAGGAGAGATTTAAAAGCAGGGAGTGAAAGGTCCTGTCTAATGTTGGGGGCAGATTGTTCCAGAGTTTAGGGCCATTGACTGAAAAAGCCTGATCTCCTCTGAGCTTCAGCCTGGTCTTTGATACAACCCAAAGCAACTGATCAGATGATCTCAGCCCCCGAGAAGGAACATAAGGTTGAAGTATAGGTCAGAGAGATATGAGGGTGTAAGGCCATTTATGCACTTAAAGGTCAACAGGAAAATTTTAAAATCAATTCTGACACGCACTGGGAGTCAGTGAAGGGAGGACGAACTGGAGAAATGTGCTCAGTCTACAAGTTCCTGTTAAAAACTGAGCTGCAGCATTTTGAACGTGCTCGAGCCACGAAAGAGACACCTGACTGACGTCAACATAAAGAGTTACATTAGTCCAGTCAGGTTGTAATGAAAGCATGGACTATTTTTTCAAGGTCAGATCTGGTCAACACAGATTTAAGCTTCACTCTCTGCCTTAACTGGAAGCAGCTTTAATGAGGGGTTCAGTTTCTTGCCCAGGGACACTGCAACATGTGACTGCTGGTGGAATCAAATCCCTAACTCTCCCATTGGAGGACAGCTGCTCTAACCACTCTGCAACAGCTGCCACAAAAATATCCCCAGGAATAAGCTATGATAGCTACAATATTTTATATCCTTTTTCTCTCAATGCTTCGTGTGCTTCATGGTATTCAAGATGTCACTAAAACACAGGGTGGTTTCTTTGTCCCACTCCGTGGGCTGCTGTGGCTGAGTGGTTAAATTAAGTTCAGTTTATTTATATAGCGCCAAGTCACAAGAAGTCGTCTCAGGGTCCTCCAATGGGAGAGTTGGAGGTTCTATTCTATCTATTCAGGTACCACTGAACCCCTCATTGCCTCTGATGTGTGTCCCATCATTGCATGATGAATGTGATCTAAAGCTCTGATACAGATTCAGATGATCTTTGTAGAGCTGTAGCAGAGTGTTGTATGAATGTGTGTGGAGGTAAATGAGGACACAGATTGTGTCGTAAAGAGCTTGGAGTATCTGGATTAGATAGAAAGGAGCTATAAGTACAGTTCATTTACCATCTCACTGGTGCAGGGAAACATGCAGTCCTTCAAGAAATGCTGGGTCCATCCAATTATTAACATATTCCACATGTTTATGATTTTAAAATGTGAACCTGCTTGAAGAAGAATGAGTACAACCATATGACAATACAGTAGTTTATTTGCTCTCACTACATATCACCATTCATGCACAATTTAAAAAGAAAAGAAAGAACAAATAGTAAACTGGATGATGCGCTGACCTTCATGAATGCAGGTTTTAAATTATTTTGCAACAACGGCAAAAACGTTTTTCTTATTTAACTTATTTATGCTGCCCTGTACCACAATAAAATGTCAAAATAAGAATATTCTGTACGTCTTCACTCGAAGTCACACGGATATTTTTGCACTTGGGGACAAATAAACCAGCAGGAACTTTAGGACTGAGACGGGTTGGATTTAGGATTTTCAGCCTGAGAGTGTTTCGTATCCTCCTGCTCGGACTTGGCTTCAGGTTGCGGTGTGTAGCGTAGATACTTCTTGCCAGAGGGCAGTTCTTTGGTGTAGACGCCAGCTGGGAACATGGAGGCAGCCTCCTCTTCAGGTATACTGGGAGGCACCATCACACAGACTCCAGGCTGGAGGTAGATGCAAAATAAAACCATGTACAATGTTAGCAACTGAAACAACAGCTGAGGTGACGTTTAACAATGGTACCTTCCAGTCAGCGGGTGTGGCCACTCGGATCCCAGCTGTGAGCTGCAGGGAGTCAACCACTCGCAAAATCTCATCAAAATTGCGTCCAGTTGTGGCTGGGTACAGTAGGGACAGTTTTAGCCTTTTGTCAGGACCTATAATAAACACCTACACAAAAAGAAGTCAAATAAACACTAAGAAGACTAAAGTTTACATTTGTGGGAGTTGAAACAGGTTTATAAATTAGCCACGTGTGAATTTGTAATGCTCACACAGCGAGCAGTGAGAGGGAGGCCATCTTTATCCTTTTCATCAGGGTCCAGCATGCCCAGGGTGACTGCCAGCTCCCTCTTCCTGTCTGCGATGATTGGAAAAGGTAGCAAGCAGTTCCCAGACTCGTCACAGTTGTAAGCAAGGATGTCCTAACCAGAAAGAAGGAAACAGAGGACTTTGAACCAAGCTGCTAATTTAGTTGCGGAGCTCAAATGGATGTTTTAAAACCACAAACTGGAAACAATTTTGACAAAGTGCTGTGATTCACCAATCTCTGTCATTGCTTATACAAAGAGCCCAGTATACAAACAGATGAAATTAGGTTGACCAAACAAAACACTAAATATCTGGTGAAGAAATAAAAATCTAAATTAACAACCTTTGCAGATTTGAATTCTTAATATTGTTACAAACTTTTTCAAATCAAACAAAGAATGTCACCTTGTTGCTAGAAAAGGAGCCTAAGCTCACGTGTGACATTAAATCCCAACAAGTCATAACAGGACGGTTGCCTTTGCAGCTTCCAACTACCATCATTTTGTACTGCAGAGGCTTGAGTATGATATTGAGATTACAGGAACAGCTCTAAATGGGTTTAAATTATATTTATTTGATATGTTCCAGTTTATAAATTTAAATAATTAATCATCTTCATACACTGAAGTTAGTCATGGAGTTCCTCAGGATTCAGTACTTGGACCAATACTCTTTGTATATGATTCCATTAGGTAAGGTTATTAAAAAGCATGGGATACATTTACATTGTTATGCTGATTATACACAATTATATTTGTCCATGAACCTCAATGAATCCAGTCAGTTACTTAGACTATAAGCATGTCTTATTTTCTGCTTTTAAACTCAGACAAGACTGAGGTTGTGGTTTTTGGGCCTGAGCATCTTAGCAATAAACTTTTCAGCCTTTCACTTTCTCTGGATGGCATTAATTTGGCCTCTAGTTCTAAAAAAATAAAATAAAATAAAAACTTGGTGTTATTTTGGATCAGGACATGTCTTTTAACCCCCACATTAAAAAAGTTACCAGGACCGCTTTCCTCCACCTGCATAATATCACTATTTGTATTTATAATATCCATGCATTTGTCACGTTTAAACTGGACTATTGCAATGGTTTATTATCTGGATGTCCAAAAACCCTTAAAAGTCCTCATTTATCATGTCTAGTTATAAGATTAGGCTTAAGTCTGTCCTTTTTGATAAATCCTATAGTTAGGGTAAGCTTGGGTTTCCTGAGCTATCCCTTAGTTATGCTGCTATAGGCTTAGACTGCTGGAGGACTAATTAACCACATTTCCTCACTCTGCTGCTGTCTTTAATTGCTCTACTCTACCTGTTTGTCCATCCATCCATCCATTATCTTTACCCGCTTATTCCATTTTGGGTCACGGGGGTCGCTGGTGCCCATGTCCAGCAATCACTGTGTGAGGTGCGGGGTACACCCTGGACGGGTCGCAAGTCCATCACAGGGACACATAGAGACAAACAATCATTCACTCTCTCACTCACACCTAGAGACAATATAGAGTTACCAATCAGTCTAACATGCATGTTTTTGGTCTGTGGGAGGAAACCGGAGTACCTGGAGAAACCCCACGCATGCACGGAGAGAACATGCAAACTCCACCCAGAAAGGCCCCTGGACTGAGGTTTGAACCAAGGACCTGCTCGCTGAGAGGCAGCAGCTCTACCAGTTGCGCCACCGTGCTGCCCACTACCTGTTTGTATTTGTTATTATTTCTATCATATGTGTTTTTTTTCTTCTTTCCTTCAATAAAAAATACATCTGGACCTGTAATTTTGTGTTTGTTTCTCCTTCCTGTTCTCTCAAACCAGCCGGTCAAAGCAGTTGGTCACTCATTCTGAGTCTGGTTCTGCTGGAGGTTTCTTCCTGTTAAAAGGGAGTTTTTCCTTTCCACTGTCTCCTTTGTGCTTGTTCAGGATGGGAGACTGTGAAGAAGTGAAGAATCAACACAATCTGCTTCCTTAGATACTTTTTACTAATTGGCAGTTGAATGTTTTTGTTCAGTGTCTTGAGACTACTTTTGTTGGGACTTGGTGCTATTTAAATAAACTGAATTTGATTGAACTGCAGGAGCAAATGTTCTGACTGCTGTGATTGCTCGTGCACCAAACATCATCTTCTGTGACTGTGGAACTAAAACCTTGGCAAAGGACTTCTGGTTAGCCTCAACAAGATTCTGGCAACTTGCTAATGGACTTAGACAAAGAAAGCAGATCTCATTTAATGCAATAGTTGGTTTGGGTGAGGAACAGTAGACCTGGACTGAACATATTTATGAGAGATGGATGGACCACACTTAGGATCTCCTTAATCCTGCTACCTGGCCGTCACTGCAGAGGCAGTCTGAGAAGGTGAAAGCAAGGCCATTGCCTGAACAAATGTAACCAAGGTAGTTAAACACTCGGCAGTAGCAGGGCACCAGGTAAGTATGAGGTTGACTTTGAGATGATGAATACTCCAAATGTAGCAGGGCTTCCTTGGTTGATTTGTTGGTTGGTTTCAGTGTCCTGGAGGGCATGGAGGACCACGACAGCTCCTTCAGAGTGGCAGACAGGGTTGGATGGCTCAATTTTTAACAAATCAGGGGGGTTGAAGAGTGTATTCAAAGCATTTGGGAATCACACATCTCAGTCTCCCTGGGAAAGTTTACTCTGTTGAAAAAGAGGCACTGGCTGACTTTGGACACCAAAGGAATTTAAATTGCTCATATTTCATGGGAGTTTATTTACCAGTCCACATGTGAACTATAGACCTGTAGTAGACAAGACCATTTTACATGAGACATGTTTTGTGTGTGTCCACTTTTATGGGCTGTCATGTCCCTTTATAACCAATGCAGGATTACTCTTCATATTCACAGCACAAAGTAAAATGTAATTCTAGTGTGGGTTGCCTATTCGAATGGAGATGAGAGTCAGCTCCTCAAAGTCAGAGGCCATGGTTTTCAAGGTGAGTTACTGATGATAAGATGGAAAGGTCCTTTATTTACTGGTCCATCTGTATTCCACCACTTATTTTTAGTCATGAGACGTGGATCATGATTGAAAGAATGAGACTCAGACTGTGTCTGAAATGAGAATTATCTGTAGGATAACCAGGTTCAGCCTTAAAAAAGGACAAACGGTTGTTTGGCAGGGTGGTATGGTGGCACAGATGGTAGAGCTGCTGCCTCGCAACGAGCAGGTCAATGGTTCAAATCCTGTCCGGGAGCTTTTCTGGGTGGAGTTTGCATGTTCTCTCCATGCATGTGTGGATTTTCTCCAGGTACTCCAGTTTCTTCCCACATACCAAAAACATGCATGTTAGACTGACTTGTAACTCTAAATTGTCCCTAGGTGTGAGTGAGAGAGTGAATGGTTGTTTGTCTCGTTTGTCTCTATGCGTCCCTGTGATGGACTAGAGACTTGTCTGCCTCTCGCACAGTGACTGCTGGACATGGAAGACCCAAAACGGAAGAAGCGGATAAAGATGATGAATGGATGTATGGATGGATGGATAGATGGATAGATGGATGTATGGATAGATGGATGGATGGATGGATGTTATTTGATAGTAGACTGGAGTAGAGCCATTGCTCCTCCACAAAGAGTCAGCTGACATGGTTCAGGTACTTGTGTAGGATGCCTCCAGGACAAGCCTTTTTCAAGGGCTTTTTGGGCATGTCTCACTGGGATGAAGCCAGTTTCCAGATATAAAACTCATTAGAGGGAATTTATATGCTCTCTGGCCTGGGGATACCTTTGGATCCTCCAGGAGAGTTAGGGTTAATATTATCTAATATTCTTATTTAATCTTCTTTCAGCTGTTCTCTCTTCAGGAATCTCCACAGCAAGTCATCCTCCTCCATTTCACTCCATCTCCTCTCTAACTGCATCCATATATCTCCTCTTTGTCTTTTTCCCAGCAGCTGCATTTCTAACATCCTTCTACCAATATATCCACTGTTCCTCTGCTGGACATGTCCAAACCATCTCAGTCTGGCCTCTGTAACTTCTCCCTGTCCTTCAACCTGTACTGTACCTTTGATGATCTCATTCCTAATCTTCTCCATCCTTCTCATCCCCAAAGAAAACATCAACATACTCAGCTCTGCCACTTCCAGTTCTTTCTCCTGTCTTTTTGTCCATGTCTCTGACTCCAGACCATACAACATAGCTGGTCTCACAACTGTCTTGTAAACTTTTCCTTTGAACTTTGCTGTCAACCTTTTATCAGAAATCAAATCCATCCATCCATTATCTTTTACCCGCTTCTTCCATTTTGGGTTATGGGGGTCGCTGGTGCCCATGTCCAGCAATCACTGTGCGTGGGGCGAGGGACACCCTGGACGTGTTGCAAATCTATCACAGGGACATAGAGACAAATGAGACGAACAATCATTCACTCTCTCACTCACACCTAGGGACAATTTAGTTATTAATCAGTCTAACATGCATGTTTTTGGTCTGTGGGAGGAAACCGGAGTACCCGGAGAAAACCCACGCATGCGTGGAGAGAACATGCAAACTCCACCCAGAAAGGCCTCTGGACCGGGATTTGAACCAAGGACCTGTGCGCTGAGAGGCAGCAGCTCTACCAGTTGCACCACCGTGCTGCTCATACATTAACTCAAAATGTAAAATAGATTTGCAGAGTGATGTGCTTGGTTCTTTTAAATTTAAGGTCTAGACATTTTATAACTTAAAATGTCTGGCAGAAACTCAGTTAGAATCACCTTCATCCTTTGAAACAGCCTAAATACTTAAGTCTACAGACAAAACAAGCAACAAAAATTCTACATGAAGGTAACTTAAATACCTTGCTCCAGCCATAGTGGTCTTCCAAGCTGTCAAGGGATATGGCCATCATTTTGACGTTGCGTTTGCTGAACTCATTGCTCAGTCTGGCAGCCCGGCCCAGCTCGGTGGTGCACACTGGAGTGTAGTCTTGAGGATGGGAGAACAGAATTCCCCATCTGTGTAAAACATGGGTTTAAGAAATTTTAATTCTGAATTTAATTTTCTTATTTTCATTCATTTTTAAAGTGCCACTTCACAACAAATATCATCTCGGGACACTGTACAAAACATTCATGGTCATAAAAGGCCAATTAGTAAAAACGATCTATCTAAGGAAGCAGTAGATTGAGTTGAATCTCCATTCATAGCAATTTTCCATCCTAAGCACTGCAGCACATTGGTGACAGTCAAACAAGACGAAACCTCTAACAGAACCAAAACCAGGCTCAGGATAGGCAGCCATCTGGTTTTACTGACTAGGACAGAGAAGACAGGAAAGAGACACAGACAAAACAAAGAATGGTTGGCCCAGTTGTAGTTTATGGTCTACGTGTAGTTTCTATAGAAAAAAAATGTGTTCAAAATTAAATAATTGCAAATACAAACATGAACAGTAAAGCCAGTAAAGTCAGCAGCACAGTGGGGTCAGTTTGTCCTCCAGCAGTCTAAGCTTATAGCAGCATAACTAAAGGATAGCTCAGGAAAACCAGGTATAGGTTTGATCAAACAGGAAAGTCTCATTTACCAAAAAGGAAAGACTTAAGCCTAGTCTTAAAAGTAAACACTGTGTCAGCCTCACAGACAGAAACGGGAAGTTGGTTCCATGAGAGAGGAGCCTGATAACTGAAATCTCTGCCTCTCAATCTGCTTTTGGAAACCCTAGGAACCACAAGTAAACCTGCAGTCTGAAAGTGAAGTACTCTATGAGAAAAGTATGGAACAATAAGATATGTAGCATAAGATGGAGCTAGGTTGTTGACAGCTTTGTATGTTAGAAAAAATATTTTGAATTATATTCTGAGATTGACAGGAGGTCAATGGAGAGAAACTAAAACTGGAGAGATATGATCTCTCCTGTCAACTCTCATTAAAACTTCGGCAGCAGAGTTTTGGATCAACTAAAGACATTTAAAGATAAAGGGTTGTAAGCTCAATCATCCAGGTAGATAACAACAAAAAAGGTTAAATCATGTCATCTGGACAAGTAAACTGGTCCATATTAAAAGTTTCACTTTTTACAGAGTTTTTGTGAACCAAATGAAAAGTTACAGTATAAATAGTCCAGTCTAGACATGATAAATGCATGGAGAAGTTTTTCCTGCATCATTTTTGGGCAAGATGTTTCTAATTTTAGTGATATTGTTCAGCTGGAAGAAGAGAAACAAGAGCAACCAACCTCTAGGAGGGAGCACAAGCCAGTGTATCTCTTGTGTCAGTCCCAAGCCCGGATAAATGGTGAGGGTTGTGTAAGGAAGTGCATTTGACATAAAACACTTGTCAAAACTAATTTGTAAGTCCATCTATGCAACACCATACTGGATCCGCTGAGGCCTGAGTTAACATTGACCACCACTGGTGCTTTTGACAAACAGGGTGCTGGTGGAAATGTACTACTGTTAGACAAATACCACGAGGGAAACGTGTCAGGAGACAGAGGGATAAGAGGAAAATCACAAATGTAGGACTGAGGGTGGCAACTCTAAATGTGGGATCAATGACAGGCAAAGGTAGAGAGCTGGCTGACATGATGCAGAGAAGGAAGGGGTCATGTTTTCTGTCTTGTCATGCTCTGCTCTCAAGCTTCGTCTCTCAGTCACACCCACTCTGCACCTCAGCCTAATCACGCTCATGCCTTGCACCTGTTCTGCGCTCTACTTAAGAGGTATTGCCACCCATGCTCCCTGCCAGATTATCGAACCCTTAGAGGAAGTAGATGTCTAATGTTCTTGTCACAGCTCAATCTGAACATCTTGTCTCGACCTCACACCTGCCTTTTGGAAACCCGACCTGTCTGCTCCTTGTCTGTTACTCTATTGCCCTTCTGATTATGGTAATGACCTCCTCTTCTGTCTCAGTGACTACAACTCACGGAACACCCTCTTGGATTAATTTGCGGATCTCTGACACCCTGCGTATGACCTCCAATTCCATGTCTGGTTCTTGCCTCTGGATCTCCCTCTGGATCACATCTCTTTCAGTCCTACTCTTCAGCTACATTCCTACCAGTGACGGTGATGTCATCCTGCCCAGCACCTACAGGTGGTTCCCACCTTACCTGCATGAGAAGGTTAGTGGCTGTTTTTCTGTTTACCTCCATCATCACAGAAACATTCAGTCCACTAACCTTTCATATCTCTGTAGATTGGGCTTGCCACGGAACTCTGACCTCTACCAGCAGCTGTTTTACAACAAACCATTTAAACCATTCTTATTGTCTGGCATCTTGTTGGAATCCAAAAACACAACTCTTGTCAGAAGGTGGATGTTTTATGTGTTCAAGAGACCAAGTGGAAGGGCAGCAAGGCTCACAGTAATGGATTTAACTGTTTTACCATGGTGTGGATAGAAAGAGAAACGGAGTCCTGATCAAAAATAACACCAGGATTTTTCACATTAGAGCTGGAGGCCAGATTAATGACATCCAAGGAGGGCGAAAGACTGAAGAATTTATTCCAAAGATGCTCAGTCCAAAAACTATTACCATCACTACTTCGGAAGATTCCCAGCCACGGTCAGCGTCCACTCTGACCGGGGACGCTGAAAGGTCGCGTGAAATAGACCTCTGTACCGGAGATGATTTATCTTCTGCAAAGGTAACGAGTCGTCACGCACTGAGTGTACCGAGGGCTGAGCTGGGGTCGGATGAAGGGTGCCATTTCTGGTCAACATATTTCAACCAACACCCACAACTTTCCTCCTAAACTTCTTTACTCCTTCGCTGTAAACCTCTTCACCAGTAAATCAAGCTAAATGCCTTCAGAGATTAATTATTTTCCATCAGTAACCCTCTGTTGTCTTGTTATTTGAACTTGCTAAGTTTATTAATCAGAAACAGATCAGCAAATCAAGTGTACATGTTTTGATGTTAATTTTAATGATTCTGTTAAATAAATGACCGCATTTATTCTGATGGGTCAAAGATAAATGACGTCTCATGTCAATGATTATACACTCCACTTTCAAGTTATCTTGGTCACATGGCAGAAATTTAACTCAAAAAAGAAATAATCCGTTGTTAATTAAACAATTAATATTCTTTGTGCTTGAACTAGCCTTAAGAATAATTAATTAAGTAGTATGTCCACAGCAAAGCTGTCCCAACATACTACACATGCTTGTAATCGTAGAGCTGATTGGATTCATTAAGTTTCATGGACAAATGCAACTGTGTATCATCAGCATATCAATGAAAATTTATCCCATGCTGTTTAAAAAATTACCAAATGGAAGCATATACAAGGTTAAGAGTACTGGTCCAAGCACTGAACCTTGAGGAACTCCATGACTAACTTTGGTGTGTGATGACAATTTATTACTTACATTTACAAATTGTAATATATCAGACAGATATGATTTAAACCAATTTAGAGCTGTTCCTGTAATTCCATTATCATATTCAAGTCTCTGTAATTGAATATTATGATCAACTGTATCAAATGCAGCATTGAGGTCTAACAGGACCAGTGTAGACACCTGTCCATTCTCAATATATATAGAATATCATTCGTAACTTTCAACAGTGCAGATTCAGTGCTGTGGTGAGCTCTAAACCCTGACTGAAACTCTTCAAACAGATTATTTCTTTGCAGATGAGCACGTAACTGACAAGCAACTATTTTCCGTAGAATTTTTGGGATGAAAGTTAGATTAGATCTAGGTCTTTAATCGGCTAGGATTCCTGAGTCAAGATTATGTTTCTTAAGTAAAGGTTTAATTACAGCAATCTTAAAACTCTGTGGTACATTACCATTTATTAGAGACAAATTAAGCAGATCCAAGATGTGGTTATTAATTAAGGGAAATATGTCTTTAAATAGCCTGGTTGGGATGGGATTTTTCATTCAACTTTTATTTAGACAGGTTAATCCCATTGAGCCTCGAGGACTCATTTACAAGAGAGACCTGATTTCACCAAAGAATGATGACAACAGTGGACAGAGGCTGTTTTTGTTTCATCTTCTAATAAAATTTTCTTTCATTTGTTCTTCTCAATTTGTATGCTTTCTTTTAATTGTCTACTGTTGTCATCACACTTTGTTAAAATCAGGTCTCTCTTGTAAATGAGTCCCTGAGAATCATTGGCATTAACCTGTTTAAACAGTCTGCGTTCACCAACATTTTCACCACACAGAACAATCATGTGTTGATGTAGGAAATGACTCCAGTCTCCTACGCTAACAGTCATTGAGAAGGCTGCCAGTGGAGGTTTGAAAATGTCTTGGAGAGATGGCACTGAGGTTTTTGACTCAAATATTCAATGGCATATTTGAGGGTGAGTAAATGCCCAAGGAATGGAGAAGTGTGCTGGTGCACATTTTTCAGAGTAAGGGTGATGTACAGAGTTGTAGCAACTACAGGGAAATTAAGTTGATGAGCCACACGTTGAAGATCTGGGAGAGAGTTGTGGAAGCAAAACTTACTGTAGATGAGAGGATTTGTAAGCAGCAGTATGGTTTCATGCCAAGAAAGTGCACCACAAATGCCATCTTTGCTTTGAGGATGCTGATGGAGAAGTACAGAGAGCATCAGAAAGAACTTAATTGTGTCTTTGTGGATTTAGAAAAAGTATATGACAGGGTGCCGAGGGGGGAGGTGTGGTGTTACATGAGGAAATCTGGAGTGGCAGAGAAGTATGTTAGACAGGACACGTGTGAGGACAGCAGGACATGTTAGACTGGTACAGGACATGTATGAGGACAGCAGGACAGTGGTGAGATGTGCTGTGGGAGTGACAGATAGTTTAAATGTGGAGGTAGGAGTGCATCAAGGATTGGCTCTGAGCCCCTTCTTGTTTGCTCTGGTGATGGACTGACTAACAGATGAGGTCAGGCAGGAACCCCCGTGGATTATGATGTTTGCAGATGACATTGTGATCTGTGGTGAAAATAGGGAACAGGTGGAAGAGAACTTGGAGAGGTGGAGGTATGCACTTGAAAGTAGAGGAATGAAAGTCAGCCGTTATTGTGTTCATTCATACTCATCTGCTCACACAGACTCATGTTCATGCTGCTGTTCAGCGTATTGTGTTTATTGTTTTTATGCTATTAGTGCTTAGCGTATTTTTAGTTTGTTTTTCTTAGTCCATATCTTAGATCTTATTACTGTTTTTCTTTTACATTTTATTGTTGGATGTAACTGGGACCCTGTGTACATAATTTTGTTGCACCACATGTACCACATGTGGTGCAATGACAATAAATCTCTGAAAAGCAGTTGTGTGACATTTGTTGGCTTATGTTGCCTCGACACTCACCTAGGTGAATTGAAGGAAGTAAAAGGGAAGAGATCATTTCTATAGAAGCTGCTGCTCCCACAGTTTGGTCCTTAATAAGCGAAAGAGCATGAATATGTGGATGGATAAATAATTATTTTCATACTTTACTGATTATCAGCAAGTGTAACCATCTCTATAAAATCTGAAATGGCGATTTTCTGCTGAGCTTACAAGTGTGTACTAACAGGTCAATAAGAAAAAAATTCTATAGATCTCATAATCATTACTGATGTCTTAAATGTAGCTTTTCTGTTTGATCATAGAGAAGTAATTATTCCTGCCTCTGAGCCTGGGAAGATGCAATAAAATTTTCAAGCAGTTACTAATCTATGTTTGTAAAACTGCCCCTTAATAAGCTCTTTTTGAACTTTCAGAGAATATTGGAAAGACAAGGCCAAACTCGTTGTTTGGCTGTAATGCACAGAGACATGTTTGGAGACACCAAAACAGCATAGCAGCACAAAAATATCACACCATCTCTGTTCTGAACTTGAATAGTGTTCTGTTGTTGGTCTTCTGTGCTAGTAGTGACACGTCCACAATGACCACCATGTTCAAACATAAGGATGTCCATAAGTGCACCTGGCACCAGGACACCCTGAGCTACAGAATGATGATGTAATTTATAGTCAGTCATCTTTGTTGCAGCCTTTTGACCAAGTCTCCCTTAAAAAAAGAGTTTTTTAATCTCAATGTTTTTTTCCTGGTAAAATAAAGGTTAAATAAATAAAAATCTGATCTGCAGCTGTATGTTTGAGACAGACCAGAGGCTCATTGGGATTAACTTGTATAAATAAAGGTTGACAGAGTTAAACAGAGAAACTTAGCTGTCACCTGATCACCACCTGGTGGTGAATTTGATCAGCTGTATGGAGACAGACAGATCTCTGTAAACCCAAATGTGTGCTGAGGGTTTGGTGGGAATGCCTGGCAGAATACCTCCAACAGAGCTTCTGAGGCAGAAGACATGAAGTATGAGGGCCAAAATCTGCTCCTTCATTGTTGAGTCTTCCTTGAGCTGTGGCAGCAAGGTTGTTTGTGCTTCATGGTGGTCATTCTAACTTCTTATACGTTTTTAGTTTTCATTAATTGAAGCTTGTTGCTGGCTGGTGAAGTTGAAGGACTTTGATAAGGATCTGACACAAGCTCAACAGGATGTGACCTGGTTTGTGTTCAATGATACAAGGGGCTTTTTTCACAAGGATGTAGGTTTGTGAGGTCACTCCGTGGTCTAGACTTTTTAAAGTTGCATTTACAGCATCATTACTCAACAAGCAGCACATCTAATAACTAACAGGTACGTTCATCTCTTCATGTTTTTTTTTTTTTTTACCTAAAAAGTATGTGTAACAGCTTCCACAGCTATAAACAACAGACCTATAGGTGGAGATAAAATAAATTTAAAGCATGGAAGCAGTCAAGACAACTTGCACAGACTCTTCAAAATCTTTCATCCTTTTTTTTAAACTGAATTTTCAATCCATCTGAAAAATTTCTATAAATATTCAACAAGTGTACTCACGAATCACCAAGATATTCATGGAATGTAATCCTCCCTACGGTGGTTTCTGCCTCGAAATCAGGAAAGACTTCTCCGAGCAGCAGCCCTGGCATCCTGAAAGCGTGGAGGGGGTTGTGTGATCGGCAGCCGCTCTGACAACTGACAACTAGAAAGTGAAAGACTGACAGAGTCTTGAGACACATTACATAACACACACCTACCCCCAGACAGAGTCAGCATTTCCATTATGGGAAACCTTCTTGTAAAATGTAAACTCAATCTTTAAACGCACAGCCACCAAGCACAAGGGCTGAACTTACAGATCCCATTCCCTTCATTCTGTTCTTCCTTGTGAGCCAAATACACATTTTTTGTCTGCCCTAACAAAAAAATACCAGACCCTTTTATGCTCTGTTGCCAAATGTTTTGGGACAGAAATGTGTCATCAAAGACTTGACTTAAGCCAGTGAGTGAGTCAACGTTCGAATGAAGAGAGTGAATCTAATCTGAGGCACCAAAGCTACAAATGTTGAGTTAATCTGAAGAAACAATGACTTCCTGATCTGTGGTCTATACTGTACATGCAACATGTCTGGTTGTGGCCACTACCATGCACTCTACCTTCCACTGGAGATCTGATGAGTTTTTGTATAGGAAGCTTGAATAAGGACCTCCAGCTGTAAATCTGGGAGAGGACCCAAGTCAAGTTCAAGATCATGAGTCTTTATTATCCCCATGGGGCAATTTGTTTCACAGTCAGTACGAACATAAATCATCCATAAAATAATAGTACAGAGATCATCACTGTTTGTTGAGAAGCCTGATCACTACAGGGATGAATGAGTTTTTTAGTCTATTTGTTCTACATCTGGGCAGAAGATACCTGCATCCAGATGGAAGCAACCTGAACTCACCATGGAGTGATGATCAGGATCTGCCAGAATCAGCCTGGCCTTGTTCACTGACCTCGCCTTGTGTAGGTACTCACACCAAACAGTGATGCTCTGTTCAAGATTTTAATAAAAAAAGGATTCTCTTATGCCATGTTTACATGTGAACCATCTCTGGAATTGTTTGCATTTTTTCCATGTTGACTGTGGCAAATAAACATAAACCTGTTTACATGTGGAATACTGTGCTCATTGAATTTGTTGTAGTTGTCATGGCAGGCAGGGTTTCCAGACAGGAAATGACCAAATGTCATCCTGTTACTTTAAAATCATGGCACAGTATTTTAACCCAAACCATTGAATGTGCTGATTGAGGTGCACTTTCTTGGAGAGGGGTGGTTGTAAGATGTGTTGTGGTTGGTGAACATGCACAGAAAAGAAGGGATTGACCATAAAAGTATCATTTCAAAACTGTAATTATTGTATATCTGGCAAAACAGGTCACTTTATGGTGCCAAGGTTTATGGTTTTAACACGACATGCAGACAGTTCAGTATTCAGCATAAAAAACAGCTACATACAAAAGAGAAAATACTCTTTTAAATTTATTCATCCAAACCTCGGCCCAAACATTCTTGGTTTGCTTGGTTTCTTCCTACACATCAAAAAAAGGATAAGCGTGACAAATAGCACTCTACTATCTGACATTGCTACTGTTCTTCCACCCGCAGAAGCCCAGAAAAGCTGTTGACTGCAGCCGGTCAGAGTACGCAAATGAGATTTGACACGTCTGCTGGTGGTCCCCAATAAACCTTCACTCTGCGACCTAGATTCAAAAGATTTGGTTTCTGAAGAAAATAGCTCTGTTGAGGCTTACAAGAACGGCCAAACCACAGCGACAAGCTACAGTTTCACTCAAAAATGGTATTGTGTAAAACTTGGCCTTAAGGACTTGGGAAAAGTCTGCGTATGCTGGTGTCTGAAGGAGGAGGGCATCACCATCATCATCTTCTCGATTTTCTACAACATAAAAAGATAAAGCAGATAAAAATGGAAAGCCTGACTTTTGAACACTGTAATACTCTATGTTCTCTCACTGCAGTCCTCAAAAGGAACTGGGAAAACAACTAAAAACCTAATGTATGTATGTATGTGTGTGCACGCACATACACACATGCTTACACTTTATTAATCCCAGAGGAAAATTCAAGACACCAATGAGCAGTTTCCTATTGCACAATTTCAATAAAATATAAATTTACAACACAAAGGGAAATACAAAGTATAAAAGTTCAAGTATAAGTATTTCCAAGTGACCAAACTACGGCAGTAAAGTCACAGAGTTCTATTTTTTTATTGTACTGGGAGGAGTTGAACAGTCTAATGGCCGAGGGGACAAAAGACTTTCTGAATCTGTCCATGGAGCATGGCTGTGACAGCAGTCTGCTGCGGAACGACTTCTTCTGCCTGATGATGGAGCTACAGTATGTAGAGTTGAGGCCTCAGGAAGGAAAGTGAGAGCCAACCACCTTTCATGGTCTCTGGTTGCAGTAATACTTCTGTAATGTAATGTAAACCTTCATCCGAGGTAAACGGCTGTGTCTGTAGACGCTCTGTCACTTTTGCAGATGGTCACACAGATTCTTTTGGAGTTGCAATCTTCAGTGAGAGAAGACTTTGGGCCGACCTTTGGGGGCACCACGGCAGACATTTTCCCCTGGATCCTTTGTTTACTTGGGCACTGTAAGAGGAAAACACGGAGAGGGAAGCGAGCCAGTGTTTTGTGCAGGACCCAGCCTAGACGCAGCTAACCCCCTCTCTCCCCTCTCTCCTGCTTTCAGGCGTTCAACCTCTGAGGAGTGGACTGGATGACCTGTGCACACGGATTTATTGTGAGTGGGACATGAGGAGCAGTTGTGTCTTTGTCTTTACGGAAACGTGGCTGGAGCCATCCCTGACTGTGCTGTGGCTCCGGACGACTTCTCTGTCCACCGGCTTGAAACAACTGAGTCAAATCTAGGACACCTAATATGTTTATTGCTGCTGCACTACGTGGCTGTATCATGTATGTTACTACCTAACCATCATAAGTCCGAACATCTCAATGTTGCTCACTGTCTGTGCATTACTTGTTGCGCAACCTGTGTGGTGTATGTCGTGTGCAACATGTTTCATGTGCATTCAAACATTGTTACTTCCTGTGAGGTACTTTTTCGTACTGATTCATCCTACCTGCACTGTTGTATGTTGTTTACTATATTTCTTTTGGACTTTGCAGATGTTGTATTTCTTTTTCACTTTTTGGTGCTTTGTTTTGTACTTTTGTTGCAAGCTTTTGGTATTTATTTTTTTTGTGTGAGTTGAGACGGTTCTTCTCGTCTTGAGCATTTCATTGTATTGTTGACCTTGTGACCACGTCCCCCAGAAAATTTTGAATAAAGTAGATGTGATTTCCTGCTTTTTGGTGAATTATAAAGGGTTGTTAAACATCTACGTTTACCTACATTTGTAAACACTCTGCTTCTGTCAAGCATCCCCCCACCTTACTTTACGGAAGTGCCAAGTAAGTCGGGTTTGGAACCAAGACGGACACTGTCCCTGCTCGTTGCTGTCTGACTCTACATGTGAACCTCCAGGCACCTGCCTGTGGACTCCTGCCTGTGGACTCCTGCCTGAGGACTCCTGCCTGTGGGCTCCTGCCTGAGGACTCCTGCCTGTGGGCTCCTGCCTGTGGACTCGTGCCTGTGGGCTCCTGCCTGTGGGCTCCTGCCTGAGGACTCGTGCCTGTGGGCTCCTGCCTGAGGACTCGTGCCTGTGGGCTCCTGCCTGTGGACTCCTGCCTGTGGGCTCCTGCCTGTGGACTCCTGCCTGTGGACTCCTGCCTGAGGACTCCTGCCTGTGGGCTCCTGCCTGTGGACTCCTGCCTGTGGGCTCCTGCCTGAGGACTCCTGCCTGTGGGCTCCTGCCTGTGGGCTCCTGCCTGCGGGCTCCTGCCTGTGGACTCCTGCCTATGGGCTCCAGCCTGTGGACTCCTGCCTG